CTGTTACCAATATGGAGTGACTGTGAAAAATCAGATCCCAGTATGACTCAATTTTTCACTGATTTTCTTAGAAAGTTGTTCTTGACTCATTTCTGAAATACTTGAGGGAGATCTAAAAACCAAAACTGATCCCTGATCTTGGAGTGCAAGTAAGAGTGAATAGCGGAGAAATTAGCATCAATGAAGCAAAAGGGCTTCTCAAGGGCAGTGAACACAATGGTTGGAAGCAAACGGTTGCTCCCAGGGTCAGTGTTGGAAAGGCTGAGTGTGTTGTGGCAAAACGCTCTCTTATAGCCCTTTAAGCCAGTGAAGTTGACGGTAACCGTCCGCCCCAGTCATCATGCCTACCGCCCTCGAACAAGCTTTTTGATTTTGATTACTTTCTCACTATCAGAATGCTGATTCAAGTTCATTTAAGGATGTCGCCCAAATGTTTCCTGAACTGTTGCAAGCTTTCTTCATTCCTCCCAACATATACATAGTTCATCGCGCTCTGAACCTTACATATCAGTTCTGGCTTCATACAACTGTGAGTTCAATATTATAACACATTTTTTCGCTTTTGTTGTAGTCTGACCTCCGCTTTGATATAATCCGATTTTGTAATGATGCCATGGGGCAAATTGCTGTGCTGTGGATGAGCGGTTCTATCGTACGTCCTTTCACGCCCCTCATGTCGCGCGCGAATGGAGCGGCAATTTTAGCGATCCTTCGTGTTACTTTATATCCCTTCAGCAATATTGATTCATGATATCATAAGCTACATGGTACATATTCTAAATTATGCGTAGTCTACATGAATTGGATAGAGCTGTGGGACGAGTCCACACGCACACCGCCGTTGCGACGTCACCAACCACGCTCACCGCGGCGATCCAGCAGCGCCCCACGATTGAATCGCCACATACCTGCTTTTGTGCTGCACTCGTTTTTACTTTTTTGGAGCTCGCGGAGCCACTTGCTTGACTTTTTCACACTACTTCTCTGAATGTCGAGTTGAATAAGAACTTAAAGCCATAAAGCTTCGGAGAAGATGTCTACAAGCGTGACATTATAGATGGATGACATTGAGAATGAAGTGAAGCGAATGGACATACATAATTTCTACAATTTCACTGTAGGAACCACCCAAAGTCAGCTTGTGAACAACAGACATGCGAGATCTCTTACAAGTAAGGGAGGGCGGTTAAGAACCGCAGAGGATGTGCGCTTTTGTGGATTGAAAGTCTCTGACATAAACTCTGCCCCGACTGTCGATCTGCACCTAAATGCTGTTTCGTGATACGGTTTCGCTCGCTCCCGGTATAGCATCCCATGGGAAGGGTGTTCCTCAAAATTTTGTCAGTGTTTATGAGAGTGCCTGTTATGTTCTTTGGAATGATCTTCTTCCTGAGACTATTGTTTGAGTGGTGATTTCAGAATATTGATTTTGTTCCAATTTTCCAGTAACATAGTTTGATATTTTAAAAACTCTCTTTTTAGACAGTACCTTACCTCGGTCCTCTTGAATACTTCTTGAACACTCCGTCCAAGCCACCGAGTGCACCATGGCAGGAATCCTTACTGCATCGACAGGAACTATGGCACCACCTTAATTATTTGGGACAGGTGAGGTGGTTTTTACACTTTGATTGATTTATTCCATGAGCAAGGCATCGTGTGGATGTAGAAAATGAACCAGATTTCCCAGCGAACATAACAACCTGATACAAACAAGAAACACCATGTAATATTATAATAAGAGTATGTATAAAAATCAATAAAGGAAAATAAAACGAGGTGAGAACCAAGTAAACTGAGTAGCAAGAGACAAATGTGCTGGTTAATAAACTAGGAGCTGGGTCAGCATCGATACACCCGAGTTGCGTTTCGCACTTGATCGCAGTTTTTACAGTTTGCGGTGAAAAGCCTCAGCGCGCAAATCATGAAACAGACAATGAAGGGCAAAAGTATCCACACAAGAGTGTGACTGCTATCGCCCCCAAGACCCTTGCCATTCCGACAAGGG